TAGGAAGGTACCCTTTTCCCATTTCCTTAGATATCCTAATATGTTGCTATGAACTGTGAGCTAGATCTTCATAGTGTTTTTAGTTGATTCCCAGTTTTTCTCTCCTTTCCCTCAAATCCATCCTTCATGTGTCATTTTCCTGCTTAAAAACCTTCTATGTCTTTTATTTTTATTATGCTTGTTCCTTTCCTAGTGAGATTGCACTTCATTATCTCTTCCAAGTAATACATGCCTTTTTACTTTTTGATGCCTTTACATGCACAGTTCCCTCCTAAAGTATCTTTCTCAACTTACCCCACCTTTACAGTCAGAATAGCAGAACACAATTTGGTCATCTAAAAAAGCCTAAGCTCCACAGAAGAGTTTATCAAATTACTGTGAGCTTTTAATGCTTATCATTTCTGCTACATTAAGTTCCTAGAATCTGTGCCGCTTTCTTCATTTTTGGTATAGCCATTGCTCAATACTTTTTGAAACTTACTTGTTACATAAATGAATTTATAGACTAATAATACCTCTGTAAAATTAGGCAAATAGTTTAACTTCCTTTATATTGTTTCTTCTCTGAAAAATCAGATTCCTCTCAATATCACTTCTTTTATAGAGATATGATAAGATAATGTAAAAATGTTTTTAAAATATTTTAAACTATTAGACTATGCAGAGTATTATTGTAATAAAGCTCATGTTCGACTTAGATTTTTAATAAAGCATGAAGATTCTTAGATATGTAGCTATTTTATACCAGTAGTTTATTGCTTCCACTTATTTAGTATTAAGCTTATATTTATTTCAGTGACATTTTAGTTACTGGTAAAATTAAGAGTGCTGTTAGTAATTTTTATATATTCAAATATTTATTATTGTTATTGAGAATGCATAAAACATAAACACCAATTCCGCACTTTCTGTACGTACAATTTAGTGACATTGATTACATTCTTGTCGTTGTGCAGTCAATTCTCACCTTCCTTTTCTTAGCTCTTCTTCCCTTGTTAACATACACTCTCTGGCCCTTGAGGTTCATATTTAATCTTTTAAGTTACTGTTGTCAATTTGATCCACTGAGATAGCTAGCTCTTAAAAGAGCATAGTCATTCTCAAGGCAGACCTTTTTACTACTCATGCTTAACTATTGCTCAGTTTTATGATGGCTTCTGAGGATATTTTGGGTTTAAGATTTAAAGATTGTTGTTGTTATGTGCCATCGAGTCGTTTGCAACCCATAGCGACCCTATGTACAACAGCCCTAAACCCTGCTCTATCCTGTGCCAATCACACTGCCTCTGACACACCCATCCCGATTACCCCAGTCACTGAATCAATCCACCTCATAGAGGGTCTTCCCCTCTTGTGCCGTCTCTCCACCCTCCCAAGCATGATGTCCCTCTCCAAGGACCTGTCCCTCCTTGCAACATGCCCAGTCTAATGGTTTGAGTGGTTCATCCAGCATCCATGGCTCCAGAAAGTTTAAATTGATCAGAATTTGAAATTCTGTTCTGTATTTTCCCACTTTTGGTTCAGATTCTTTTGTGAAATCGTTGATCAAAATGTTCAACACCAGTAACCAACCAGGCACCATCTAGTTATGGTCTCATGGCAAAGGAAGTTACTTACTGGGGCAATTAACTGCACATTTCATATCCTCTTCCTATTTTTGATTCTCCTTTTTTGGAAGCTTCACGGGAATAAGAGACCAGTTGTTGTCCTTTGGATAGCTACTTTCAAGCTTTCAGGAATCCCTGAGACAATGCAAAGAATCAGAAGGTAGACAAATAGAAACACTAAATAGAATATTAGGCTAATTTACTAGCATTTCCCATAAAACATTAACCCTAAACCTACAAACCCAAAGAGCCATATCTCATGAGAAGTTTGATTTTACATAAGCAGCTTTAGTATTGACTTTTTCATTTTTCCTATTATACAACTTTTGTCAATTCAGCTTTTTTTCCCCCATAATCAAAACGTTTTGAAAAAACTGACACCAAAATAAATAAGTACCACATACTTTACCAATAAATTAAATATTATTATCTTGGCAAATTAACCAGGATTACTGATTGGTAAGGTTTTCTGTGACTGAATAGAAATTCAGGATGTTGTGTGGAGCATTAGTGTTGCTTTTTTCTGAATTAACCGCCTTCTTGTGAGTCTGGTTTTTCCTCCTCTGGGAAGACACAGCACTGTTGAACAGCCTACACAAAGAACCACTGTCTGAGCATGGCTGGAAACTGTGGTAATCTTGTAGCAACCTGGATATTATACATCCATAAAATAAGAATTTGAGCTTTTAACTAGTAGTTTCTTTTTATGTTTTTTCTTTTCATCTTCCAAGGAAGGATTGTAGTAAATCTCTTGTCAAAGGCATGCTGATGCCCACCTCTGTGAGAACTAAGAGGAAACCTGAGCTAGCTCTGTGACCTGAGCTGTGTGATTGGGCCCCGACCACTGCCAGTTCAGCTTTTAAACAAGTGTACAATTTATCGACAGCAGTTACAATAATTGGTGTACAACCCTACTCTTAATCAGTGTGATCTGTCATTTTCAACTCCTATTTTTCACTTTCTTCTTGTCCCAAGTACCATTTTATATGTAAGTCTGTTGTGTGTATTTGTATTTAATATTTCTGAAAGCTTTAGTGTAATGTATGTTGTGAATGTTCAATACCTGAAACTTTTTCAAACCTATAAGATTTTGATCATTTGTGGAAATAAATAGTTTTTTGGGTTTTTTTTAGGTTTTTTTAAAAAAAATAAATAGTTTTGAAGAAATTTACATTATGTCCTTGTCATACCACCAATGATGGCTGTACAAATAGGTGTTTTATTTTTAATATACCTTGTATCTACACAGTCAAAACACAGAACATTTTCATTGCCTCAAGGATTCCTAATGTCACCTATGTAGCCACTTTCACTTCCTTCCTGCTTCCCACCCCTTCCTTAAACCCTGAATAATCTGATCTTCATTTCTCTGATTTTATAATTTTAAGAATTTTATAGAAAGAAATATTTTGAGATTGATTTTTAATCAGTCAAAGTAATTCTCAACAGATACCCAGTTGGTTTTATATACCAATACTTTTTTTCTTTTCACAGCTAAATTGTTTTTCAGGGTATGGATTTATAGTTTAACCATTTTCTCATGTAAGGACATCTGAGTTCTTTCTAGTTGTGACTATTAGTTATGAAATTTCATGCATGAGTTTCTGTGTAAATGTAGATTTTCATTTCTCTGGAATTAATGCCTGAGAAGTAAATGTAGTTGCTGGGTCAATACGAGGGTTTGGGTTTTTTGTTTCTTTGTTTTTTCATCTAAGGGAACTGATAATACATTTTTCCAGATTGGATGTTCCATTGTATACTCCCAAGGGTATTGCATGAATGATTCAATTTCTTCACATCTTCCCTAGTATTAGTTATTGTCACTATTTTTCCATTTTATACATTTATTTTATGACAGAGTTCTGACTTATGATGGGATTCCAATTTGTCATGCGTTCTGATGTAAGTCAAATACTTTTTTTTAAAAAAATTGTTTTTAATGCCTTTTAAGTGTCTGTAAACTCCATCTTTTATATTTGGAGTTTGGAAACGTATATAGACTTAGGGATATATTTTAATAAATATATAATAAATAATAAACATTTACTCTGGCAGTGACAAAGTTGGGCAACTTTGGTATTTTTTCAGTTGTATAATAAACTTCTACTGCAAAATATCTCCTGATCTGAACTGTTGGTACCAAGAGTGCTGATTGTGAATTCAATAAGATAAAGTTATTGACAATTTCAGTCTTTCCTCCATCTATTATTAGGTTGCCTATAAATAAACGTATTGCACTGGGCAAGTCTGTAGTCAGGGACCTCTCCAAATATTAAGTGATGACATTTTGAGGACTAAGGCATTCCAATTCAGGCTTCCCTTTTTATTCTCTAACTACAGCTCTTTGGACCTACCATTATTATACTTTGCTTTGTCTTCTCAAGCTGCCCTTTGAAATCATCTGTTTATCACTTTCACTTCTTCATCTCTTCCCTTTGCTTCGACTTCTCTATGCTCTAGTGCAATTTTTAGAGTCTCTTCTGTCATTCAGGTTGGACTTTTTTCCCTCCTCTTCTATGTAATGACCTTTTGCTTTCTTCATGGATGATATCCTTGATGTCATCCCATAACTCAGTAGTGTTCATTGACTGAGTTATTCTTGAGATTACATTCTCTCATAAATTTTCCTTAGGAAGATGAAATGGTCAGTCATAAACGTAGCCAGCATATGTAATAAATTGGGAACAGCTTGTAATTTGTGTATGTTGTTGTTGTTGTTATGTGTTATTATGTGCCGTCGAGTCGTTTCTGACTCATAGCGACCCTATGCACAACAGCCCTAAACCCTGCTCTATCCTGCGCCAACCGCACCGCCTCTGACACACCCATCCCGATTACCCCAGTCACCGAATCAATCCATCTCAAAGAGGGTCTTCCCCTCCTGCGTTGTCCCTCAACCCTCCCAAGCATGATGTCCCTCTCCAAGGACCCGTCCCTCCTGGCAACATGTCCAAAGTATGTGAGACGAAGCCCCAGAATCCTTGCCTCCAAGGAGTAGCTTGGTTTAATCCTCTCCAAGATAAATCTGTTTGTTTTCCTGGCAGTCCAGGGTACATTCAGTACCCTTCTCCAGCACCACAGCTCAAAAGCATCCACTCTCCTTCTGTCCTCCCTAGTCATTGTCCAACTCTCTGATGCATAACAAGCGATTGCAAATACCATGGCCTGTGTATGTTATACTGGGAAAATATCAGTTTTGTTTATCAGGTCAAGAAAATTGTATGTTATAATAACTATTAACTAACAACTTAAGTTTAACTATTCTTATAATGTTTATTAAAACTTTATTTCTCATTGATTTGTCATGTTCAAGAATTCATTTCATAAATTTTTTTAAACTTACTAAATTATGTACTCTTTATTTTTAACTCTGAATTTTTATTTCCTTAACAGGTGTTAAAAAAGATATTGAGAAGCTTTATGAAGCTGTACCACAGCTTGGTAATTTGTTCAAGATTAAGGACAAAATTGGAGAAGGTAATTTTGGGATGCTATTTTTATGATAGAATCCTGATTTCCATTATTTCTTTGAAATATGAAATATCTTCCTTTTTTTAAAAATTTTTTTTCTCCCTTATTTTCACTTAAAACTTTAAGACCATGGCACTTGCTAATTCTGATAGTTATACACAGGTATTCCAAATTTTCTTGTTCTAACTAGATTTTATTTAACCCTTGAAAACTGCTTTCAGAATTCTTCATATGAACTACATAGGATAGAATACACATGCAAGTACACTGAAAAAGTTATATAATTTTATCAATGTACTATTAGTATGTTGATATATTGGCTGTAGTCTAAATGTAGTTAAAGGACAAGTTCACCATTTTGAGCAAAATAAGATGTCCAGAACACAGAAATAAAGCTTGGTCTTGATTCTTTAACATCTGTAGTCTTGAAAGTATTTCTGTAGCAGGTCATCTTTTCCTGGTGAATTCTTTAATACCTTTACAGTTGTATTCACATTTTTAGATTGTGGACAATAATATATAATTATCAGTATATATTGATGGTAATATTGTAGTCACATAATAACACAGAAACTTAACTGAGTAGAGTTATATACTTGATTTTTACACACTCAGGGAAAGGAATTTATGTCTAAAAATACATCATGACCCATTCACACATCATTAAGATTTGAATGGCCAGTGTAACTATAGCATTTGCTGATTTGTTGTTGTTGTTATGTGCCGTCGAGTTGCTTGCGACTCATAGCAACCCTATGTACAACAGCCCTAAACCCTGCTCTACCCTGTGCCAATCTCACTGCCTCTGACACACCCATCCCAATTACCGCAGTCACTGAATCAATCCACCTGATAGAGGGTCTTCCCCTTCTGCGCCCTCTCTCCACCCTCCCAAGCATGATGTCCCTCTCCAAGGACCTAGAGGGTCTTCCCCTTCTGCGCCCTCTCTCCACCCTCCCAAGCATGATGTCCCTCTCCAAGGACCTAGAGGGTCTTCCCCTTCTGCGCCCTCTCTCCACCCTCCCAAGCATGATGTCCCTCTCCAAGGACCTGTCCCTCCTTACAACATGTCCAAAGTATGTCAGACGAAGCCTCAGAATCCTTGCCTCCAAGCAACAGCCTGGTCTAACCCTCTCCAGGATGAATCTGTTTGTTTTCTTGGCAGTCCAGGGTACATTCAATACTCTTCTCCAGCACCACAGCTCAAAGGCATCAAGTCTCTTTGTTATCCTCCTTAGTCATATTTATATTCAGACCATAACTAGCTGCCAGAGTATCTGTTAGAAAAGACTTTAAAGTAAAGCTCAGGTGATTGATAAAGAGAATGATTTAGTCCTTTCCGTTTTCTTTAGCAAATGATATAGTTAACATAAATGATGACTGTACACGTTGACCTCATCTGATGGACTCACAGGAATCAGATTGGCTATAGCTCTAGAAAGAATTGAAGGAGAAGCACAAACTCAGCAGTTAAAATAAGGCCAAAGACTGACTGTGGAACAGCTCATCACTTAATCATATGTAAATTCAAATTGAAGTTGATGAAAACAGAGCTGCAAGAGCCAAAATACAACCTTGAGTTTAACCCACCTGAATTAAAAAACCATCTCAAAATAAAATTGGAGCACAGAACAATAGTGACCAATCAGATAAGTTGTAGAATGACATAAAAGATATGAAAAAAGCAGAAAGTGATTACATATGTGAGGGAAGAGATATAAAAGATTAAGATAGGTGTCAGAAGAGACTCTTAAAATTGCACTAGACTAGAGAGATTTAGGGAGCTCTGGTGGTTTAGTGACTAGAAGCTGCACTGCAATCCCAAAGCCCTGCGTTTCAAGGCCACCAGCTGCTCCGTGGGAGAAGGATGAGCAGTCTCCTTCTGTGCGATTAGCTGCCTCTGAAAACCTGCCAGAGGGTCAGCGATGGGTCAGTTCTGACTCTACAGTACTCAACAACAGCATAAGAAATGAGGGCACAAATATTTACAATAAAATTAACAGACCTATTTTAATCTATTTTATTATTAAAAGTGTTATATATACTCAAATAGATTATCTATGGTAATTGATAATTATTTAAAGTTTAATATTCAAACAGGAGGTTTTAACCAGGGAAGCCTGATCTATTTCTTCTTTGTCCATTTCAATTATGTAGACTACTACATTCAAACATTTGACTATGATGGTGAAACAGTGAGAATGGTACTGTATATGATCATCAGGATTGACATAAATATCATTGAGAGATTAGCAAGCATATTGACTGACTAATGAATACATTTGATGCACAAGTGCAAACGGCATAGCATAACTTCAGCAATTATTGGATCAGTATAAATTTCCATTTACTTGATTATTTTCTTTTTACAGTAAAAACTGTCATTTACTCATTAGAAAAGCTTGAGTGAATGAGGGTCCCCAAAATTCTGAAATGAAATAATGATTTAAGATTGTGACTCAACAGATACAAAGAACACATCTTAATATAACTTTCCTTCTCTTTAAGCAGTAGTTGTTAGGTACTGTTGAGTTGACTATAACTCATATGGACCCTGTGAACAGTCGATCAGAACCTTGCCCTATCCTGTGCCTTCCTCCAGTCTGCCATACTGGAGCCCATTGTTACAGTCACTGTCTCTTTCCATCTTGTTGAGGGTCTTCATCTCTTGCTGACCCTCTGCCTTTCCCACTACCCTCAAGGGTCACAAACTTTTTTCTGGAGAATACTAGTGTCCTCCCCCCTGACCCCCATCCTACCAAAATGATCATGAGGATGGTATCTTAAGACTATACTCTTGGGGAATGTGTATTTACTCCGTAAGTATGCTTCACTTCGCTCATAAAAGGCTTTGAAAATAGTAAAACAGTTTTATTTAGTTTGTTGTAATTAGTATCTATTAAATTTAATTAACTTGTCATCAAATTTCTTTTTTTTTTCTTCTTAGTTTATTGTTACATTTAAAAGCTGCCAAGCTTTGGCAGTTTGTTCCCCACCCCAGTATGATCATGACCATGGAAATATCTGATGCTAACATAGTTAGACTAATTTGTGTACCTGGTCACAATAAGATGTTAATGCACCCTGGTGGTACAGAATTAAGTACTTGGTCTCCCTGTCCCTCTGCTAGTGAAAGATCGGGCATTCTGTTTCTGTAATTGTTTTAGCCTTGAAAACTCTGTAGCGCAGTTCTAATCTGCCCTGTAGGTTCACTGTGGCTGACCAACAGCTTGATGCCAAGGAGTTTGGTCTTTGTTTTAGTTTCTACAGAATAATGAACTGAGGACACTTGAGCATTTATTAAAAATAAATTTATTCACAGATTTGTTTGCTTTTATGTTGAATTCCAGTAAAATGTTAATGATCGTGTGATAATAGCATGGTTTTCAAACAGTTTGTAATATCTATTTTAGCATTGTTTCATTAATTTTTAAAATCATAAATAAATTGTTTTGCAGGCACTTTCAGCTCTGTTTATTTGGCTACAGCACAGTTACAGATAGGATCTGAAGAGAAAATTGCTCTCAAACACTTAATCCCAACAAGTCATCCTGTAAGAATTGCTGCTGAACTTCAGTGCCTTACAGTAGCTGGGTAAGCAACTTAAAGATACTTAAATTGAACTAGCTGTTTATAATCTAGACGATTTTTGAGAGGATACTGACCAGAGATGATGACATCGCCCTTGAATTAAACATATCCTTCAGCTAAGTACTTGCAATTTGCCGGCATGTTTCCTCTAACCTTAGAATGATTAGTTAAATTCATACTGATTTCTCTTGGAGTGGATTTCCCTAGAGGCTCAGCATGATTTCCTGTTCATTTACCACTTCTTTTTTGTAAGTTTTATGCCAAATCATAAAACTTAGCTTCCCTGGTCTAAGTTTAACATAAAGTATAAGAACTCATATTTCATGTCTTCCTAATTATTATTAACATCCATCAGAACGATTGAATCATCTGACATTCTCATTGATCTCTTTGATTAGTGCCCCTGTCAACATACTCTAATAATCTCATTCTCTCTGAAATGCTCTCCCTGTACTAGCTATCATGTTATTTATTTCCTCCCCTTTATAGATAGACTTTTCAAATGTTGTTTCCACGTGTTGTTTTTTTACTTCCACATCTCTTTTCTACCATATAGTCAATGTGTTTGGCTACTCTCCTCTAGGGTAAATTGAAACTATATTAGAATCACCATGACTGTATTTTTCTATTTTTTGTTCAGCAGCATTCAACATAATTTATTTTAACCATTTTCTTTTGGCTTCTTTATTGGTGTTTCATTTTCAGTATCCTTTGCCAGCTTTTCCTTTGCTTCCTGTTTCTGAATATTGAAGTCCCTCCGAGTCTTGATCCTGAGCTTGCTTGCTGTCCCTGAACTCTTTCTTATGTAGTATCGTGCATTTCCAAGTGTCTTTAAAATACAGAAGAGTGGTAGCTAAAGGTACATACCTAATTAGATTCAGACCACCTATCTTAACTGCTTATTTATGTATATCTACCAACCTGTTTGACATTTCAAGCATCTCAGACCTGGTTCTCCCCAAATGAAATTGTTTGTCCGGTTTCCTACCCCTAACACCCTCAGCAATAACCCATTCTCTCATCTGCCCATCTTAAAACTTGACCCTACTATTTACCTAATTGTTCAAATCAAGAACCTATGATTGGCTTTCCATTTTACTCTTAAACCATATGATTTGCCTAGTTCTATCCATTGTGTATCTAAAATAAATCTAAAACCCCATACATTTCTTTTCATCTCTACTACTTCAGTCCAAGCCCAGACTGTTGCTCTTTCCCCCCTCTAATTCTGTTTTTACACAATGTTGTTGTTGTTGTTATGTGCCGTCGAGTCGCCTGCGACTCATAATGACCCTATGTACAACAGCCCTAAACTACGCTCTGTCCTGTGCCAATCGCACCGTCTCTGACACTCCCATCCCAATTATCCTAGTCACTGAATCAGTCCACCTCATAGAGGGCCTTCCTCTCCTGTGCTGTCCCTCCACCCTCCCAAGCATGATTTCCCTCTCCAAGGACCGGTCTCTCTTCACAACATGTCCAAAGTATGTTAGACGGAGCCTCAGAATCCTTGCCTCCAAGGAGCCACCCGGTTTAACCCTTTCCAGGACAAATCTGTTTGTTTTCCTAGCAGTCCATGGTATTCTCAATACTCTTCTCCAGCACCACAGCTCAAAGGCATCAATTCTCCTGCTATCCTCCTTGGTCATTGTCCAACTCTCTGATGCATAACAGGTGATTGGGAAGACCAAAGCCTGTATCAGATGCGCCTTAGTCTCCAGAGAGACACCATTGCTCTTCAGTACTTTGGAGAGGTCCCTAACAGCAGACTTTCCCATGGCAATACGCCTTTTAATTTCCTGGCTGCTGGTGCCAAGACTGTTGACTATGGAGCCAAGCAAACTAAAGCTGTGTACAATCTCAATCTCTTCACCATCCATCCTGATGCTGCCAATTGGTCCAGTGGTGAGAATCTTTGTCTTCTTGACATTGAGCCTCAATCCATATTGTAGGCTGCAGTCCTTTTACACAATAGTCAGTTTAAAATACAAAACCATGTATGTATAACATAACTTGTATAATATTACTTCCATCATTTAAAATCATTCAGTGGGTTACCAGTATACTTTGGGGGAGAGGGAAGTTGGGAACTGAAACTTTACTGTTGTCTTTTAATTTACAATTTAACTAACGGTTTGCTTACTTTTTAACTCTCTCAACCTTATTTCATGCCAGATTTTCCACTTCTCTCACAATTTCTACTTTCTTTAGATCCTCAGTTTTTTCTCAAGAGCTTTTATATCAAAGCCATTGTCCAGGCTGTTTCCCCATTGGGAAATTACTTTCCCATCTTTGCATGCTGATACAGCTTTCTGATCTGAGTAAAAGAGGCACCATGTCAGGAAGCTTTTCTCTGAATTAAATTAGAACCTTCTATTTTCATTGCCAAGGCACCTTTGGATTTTTTTAAACCTATATCATAATTTGCCATCATTGATTATCTTGCTAATTACCTGTATTGCCCACTAGGTAACAAACTCTATGAGATCAGAAAGCATTTTAATATTATTTAACATTGCATTTCTAATGTTTAACCTGTTAATATTAGGTGTCATCAAGTTGAGTATGACCCATAGTGAGTCTGTGAACAACAGATCTGAATCCTGTCCTGCCCTGCACCATTCTTATCACTCCCAACACACTTGAGTTAATTACCCCAATTACTGTCTCAGTCCATCTCATTGAGGATCTTCCTCTCTTTCACTGACTTTCCACCCTTCCAAACATGATGTCATCCTCTGAGGTATATCCTCTCCAAAACAATGTATGATAAAGAAGCAGTGGTGATGAAGGAGGAAGTTCAGGCTGTTCTGAAGGAATTGGCAGAAAACAGGGGTCCAGGAATTGTTGGAAAAACAGTTTTTGTATTTCAACAAATAGATAATGCCCTGAATGCACATACCAGGTTGTGCCAAGAAGTCTGGAGGATAGCTACCTGGCCACGTGACTGGAAGAGGTCCATATTTATTCCCATTCCAAAAAAAAGTGATCCAACATAGTGTAGAAATGAATGAATAATATCACTGATATGACGTGCAAGCAAGATTCTGCTGAAAATTATCCAAAAATAATTGGAACAGTACATCAACAGAGAACTGCCACATGTGTAGGCTGGGCTGAGAAGAGGCTGTGGCACTAGAGACATTATTACCAATGTCAGATGGATCTTGGCAGAAAGCAAAGAGTACTAGAGGAATGTCTATCTGTGTTTCATTCATTATGAAAAGGCATTTAACTGTGTTGATCACAACTAATTGTGGCTAGCATTGAGAAGAATGAAAATTCGCAACATTTGATTTTGTTCCCATGAAACCTATACTTCATAGTCATCCGAACAGAGTAAGGAAACACTATGTGGTTCAAAATCAAGAAAGAAATGCATTAGGGATGCATCCTTTCTCTACAACTTTTCAGTCTATGTGCGGAACAAATAATTTGGTACATTGGACTTATAAGGAAGACTCATTAACAAGGTGTGTTGTGCAGATGACACAACCTTGCTTGCCGAAACTGAGAAGGACCTGAAGCATTTGCTGCAGAAAGTCAAGGACTGCAGTCTTCAATATAGATTGCATCTCACCATCACAAAAACAAAGATTCTCACCACCTGGCCAATTGGTAGCACCATGATAGAGAAGAAATTGAGACTTAACAATTTTATATTGCTTAAAGCCATAATTAACACTCTTGGCACCAGCAGTCAGGAAATCAAAAGACAAATTGCCTTGGGAAAGTCTGCTGTTGAGGAGTTCTCCGGAGTGCCGAAGAGAGTGATGTCAGTTTAGATACTTAGGTGCACCTGAATCAGGCCAGGGTCTTTGCAATTATTTACCCGTCAGAAGGCTGGACAGTGAATAAGGACAGAAGAATCGATGCTTTTGAGTTGTGGTGCTGGAGAAGAGTTTTGAACATATCATGAACCGCCAAGAAAACAAACAGATCTGTCTTGAGAGTGAAACCAAGCTGCTTCTTGGAGGCAAGGATTTTGAAGCTCTCTCTCATGCACTTTCAGTATGTTGCCAGGAGGGACCAATCCTTGGAGAAGGGCATTATGCTTAGAGAGTGTTGAGTCAGTTCAGGAGAGGTTGAGATGGATTGCCAGATACTGGGATAATAGGAGTAGATATATTGGAGATAGTGAGATTAGCTCAGGATAGGACAGAATTCAGAACTATTGTTGATAAGATCGCTATGAGTCATAGTCAACTTGGTGGCATATAATAATATGTCCAAGGAATGTGAGACAGAGTTCCAGCCTCCTTGCATGACGAGACATCTTGTTTGTTCTTTTGACAGTCCTTTGGATATTCAGTACTCTTCTCTAGCACAACTCGAAGGCATACATTCTTCTGTCATCTATCCAGTTCTTAGATGCATAGTAGGTGATTGGAGAGACCATAGCTTGAAGCAGGCACACATTGTTTTTTAAACTGAAATCATTGCCCTTTGAGTCTTTAGTGAGGTCCCTGACAGACCTGATTTTTTGACTTCTAGTACCATGGAAGTTGATTGTGGATCTAAGTAAGACAAAATCATTAACAATTTTAACCTTTTTTCCATCTATCATGTTGTTGCCTATTGTCTCAGTGGTGAGGATTTTTATTTTTAATCCATGTGAAAGTTTAACATAGTTCCTAACAAATAACAGTGGCCACTAAATATTTATTAAAAAATGGATCAAATAATGATGAATAGCTTCACTTTGGGTATAATTACATTCTATGCTGAAAGTGGAGAATACCAGAAAGATGTCTATTTATGTTTTACTGACTATGCAAAGACATTAGACCGTGTGGATCATAACAGCGCATGGCTAATGTTGAGAAGATTGGGGATATCAGAACACTTAATTGTGCTCTTTGTTAACTTACTAGAATAGGAGGCAGTTTCCCAAATAGGTCAAGTGAACACTACATGGTTAAAAATCAAGAAAGGTTGTGTCAGGCCTATATCCTTGCTCCATATCTAGTCAATTTATATACTTTTGAATGAGCAAATTATTTAAGAAGCTGGACTTCCTGAAGAATGATGTAGCATCAGGATTGGTGAAAGACCCAACAACTTACATTATGTAAATGGCACAGCCTTTACTTGCTGAAAACAAGGTTAGTCTGGGGCACTTGTAGAAGATCAAAGAACACAACTTGCTGCAGAAAGTCAAGGACTGCAGTCTTCAATATGGATAACATCTCAACATCAAAACAAAAATGATCACAACTGGACCAATAGGTCATGATAGATGGAGAAAAGATTAAAGTGGTTAATAATTTCGTCTTGCATGGATCCATAGTCAAAACCCTTGGCAGCAGTAGTTGAGAAATCCAAAGATGTGTTGCACTGGGGAAATCTGTCAAGAACTTCTTCGGGGTACTTAGGAGCAGTGGTGTCACTTTAAAGACTAAGGTGTACTTTAAAGACTAAGCAATTTTTTTTTCAGTCACTTACTGTGCATCAGTGAATCAAGATGGCAGAAAAATAGATGCTTTTGAATTGTGGTGTTGGAGAATAGTACTGAATGTTCCCATGGTTTGCCAAAAGAACAAACAGATAAGTCGTGAAGAAAGTACAACCTGTGTTCCTTAGAGGCAAGGGTGATGAAATTTTATTTCACATACTTTGAGCGTGTTTTTAGGAATGACAGCTAACCCTTCAAAAAGGACATCATATTTGGAAAGGTGGAGGGTCAGCATTAATGATGAAGACCTTCAATGAGATAGAGGGGCACAGAGGTTTTAACATTGGGCTCAAGTATATCAGCTGCTTGTTAATGACTGTGGTAACCTTAAAATTGGTGCTATTTTTTTTAAGAAAACCATCCCTTTATGCATGCCAGTTAAATGTTTCTATTATATATATAATGACTTTAGCTCAGTTTTCAAGCTGTATTAATGCATTGTTAAGATTGCTTTGTAAAAATAAAAACCACATAAGAATAAAATTCAGTTCATTTAACCTTTTCTCTAAAGTTCATTTTGCATTTTTCCACTAGGGGGCAAGACAATGTCATGGGAATAAAATACTGCTTTAGGAAAAATGATCATGTGGTTATTGCTATGCCATATCTGGAACATGAGTCCTTTTTGGTAGGTTTGAATATTTCTTAATTTTTCACTAACCTAGATACTTAATTTAAAACTATTTTATGACCTCATTCATAACTTTATTTTAGGACATTTTGAAGTCTCTTTCTTTTCAAGAAGTACGGGAATATATGTTTAATCTCTTCAAAGCTTTGAAACGCATTCATCAGTTTGGTATTGTTCACCGTGATGTTAAGCCCAGCAATTTTTTATATAATAGGCGTCTGAAGAAGTAAGTATGAAAAATTACCAGATAATATTTGTATTTGAAGATGATGGGATTTATGTTTAGATCATTGAGCATATGGTAGTACCTGTGGAGAGATTATTTATTTTACATTTTCATTGTGAAAGGGAAGGGAAATGGAGTGAAAAAGTAAGGTTGTATTAGTAAAGCAATTTACATAAATAACTCAATATACTAAGGTTATGTTTCTGCTCTACTTAGCCTTATACATTTCTGAACTTCATATTTTGTTTCTAATAAACTAGTATTGTACCTTAGGATAGTACATTTCTGTTTCAACACTAGGATTTTGCTTTTGTCTATTTTATGCTGGAGATTTTTGTATGTATATAGTATGGTAAAGAGAGAAAGAGTAAGAAAAAACTTTGTTTTTTGGCTTCTATACCTTTTTTTTAAACCTTTAGTTAAATCATATTTTAAAACCATGATTTTATTTTTGTTTTATGCTTTTTAATTAGAAATTATATGCCATGATGCCATCTGTCCTACCACCAGAAAAAAAAAATTGTACTTCTTTCTTAAATTATTCTTCTGCCTTGTCAGTGGCAAATCATTGGAAAAAAAAAAGATCAATTTATTGTAATGCATCTTCCTTTATAATTTTGGGAAAATTTGTAAAGACTATCAATTTCTGCATGAATATTGTTTGAAATACTATGATATTATGAAATCTTTGTTCTAGAGAAGTAAAATTGCTTAATTTTGTTTCTTAGGTATGCCTTGGTTGACTTTGGTTTGGCCCAAGGAACACATGACACGAAAATAGAGCTGCTCAGATTTGTTCAGTCTGAAACTCAGCAAGAAAGTTCTTCACAAAATAAGTCCTGTGTAATCACAGGCAACACGATTTCATTGAGCGGCTTAGCACCTAAAGACCTGGATCAGCAGCCTACCACAAAAACATCTGTTAAAAGGCCGTATACAAATACACAAATTCAGATCAAACAAGGAAAAGATGGAAAGGTTCTGCCTCTTTATTTAAGTGCTAACACTGTTTCAGAAATGTACTCTCTCATCCAACAGAGGGTGATATACTACTAGGATAATACTTGCAATTTATTTTTTACATTTGTTGTATATGTTCAACTGATAAAATTTTCACTTTTTCAAAACCAAAATTTACTTTGGTAGATTGGTAATGTCTTTATTCCTATGTAACATAAAATTATATGAGAAAATTGAAAAAAAAAATAGATTTTCCTTGCATGTTACAAAGATCAGATTAATTATCCTTTTCCTAAGGAAACATTGTTATAGGGAAACAGTTCAGAAGTGTGGATTTCCATTTTAGCTAAGCAGCAAAATGTAACATCCTTGCAGGTGGTTTTGGGATTTTTCAGTAATTTGTGGGATATTAGTAACAGTGTATGAATGTTAAGAGTTCTGTCTAGATCCCTTTCTCCTTTCACAGAAGTGTTTTGGTGCCTAAGAATAACACATATGCAGCTGTTTTTGTTCCATGTCACTTAACTCTTTGAAAACTATGGCAGAGTACAGCTGGCAGAAAGTGTTACAGATATAATCCTTATTTTCCTTGTTTTTGTTGGTATTACAGGAGGGGTCTACAGGCCATTCTGTCCAGCGCTCTGTTTTTGGAGAAAGAAATTTCAATATACACAGCTCCATTTCACCTGAGAGCCCTGCAGTGAAAGTAAGTAATGCAGCTTAACAATGCCAATTACCAATCATTTGTAACCTGAAGACAATTTAGATCATGAGTAGGTTAGTGCTTATTATCAGCAGTTTTTTCAAAAGTAGAGTTTTACTTTGGCATAAGTTATTACTTCCTTGAGCATGGAGTCAGACCTTTTACTTTCTCCTGCTCGTTCCTGAATTGTTCTTGTAGAATTTTCATCATTTTTTATTAGTTAACTATTGTTGAGCCTTCCCTAGAGAAACATTTAGAACTTTAAGGCCTCTTCTTCCATCATCATCAGCAATATTTTAAGCTTCCAACACTAGTTTGGATATAATGTTAATTCATAAAAATGTGAATTTAGCAAAATTGTCATCAGTAGTAGATGTTTTTAAATAATCTGTGACAGCTAGATAGTATGAGCAACAAATTAAAGCTGATTTTAGCCAGTGTTATCATGCAGTCTGCAGTTCTCAAATGGAGTCGAGCACTAGAACATAACTGTTTATACTCCTGTAAATTAATCAGGAAAAGTTCAAATAAAGTAAAAATAGGACTGAGTAAATTTGGTTTAAGTATATTCCATAACAAAACCACTGAAGAAGACAAAATTTAAATAGACAAATTTTGTTCACAATCATATAGCACATCTAGGAGTTTTAAAAGTTGTTCTTCCACTGTTGGTTTTTGCCATATTAGCATTTAAAGGCATTGTGTTAAATGTCATGAACATATCAAGTATGACTTTTATTTTGCAGATTATGAAGCAATCCAAAACTGTGGATATACTATCGAAAAAGTTACCAACAAAAAAAAAGATCATTTCAGCAAAAGTTGTGAGCAGTGATGTGGTGAAGAAAACTGCCACTTCTTGCTCTCCTAATCTGACCTGTGACTGTTATGCAACAGATAAAGTTTGCAGTATATGCCTTTCAAGGTAGCATGGGGTTGTTTTTTTTTCTTTATTGACATTTTATTGTAAGTTTATAAAGAACTTGGATTTCCATTCAGTCATTGTTGCACATTTTCCTCCTTATCCCCTCCATCCCAGTTTGGTTTTTCTTTAGGAAAAAAGTTCTTTCATTTTTATACAGTCCCTCCCACAGACCAATTTACTATGCAGCTCTTATTCTGGACTCTTGTTGCACCACAATACCTAATCATATTTTCCTTTTATACAGTTCTCTTATTTATCCCCTCTTTTCTTAGTTTCCCCTCACCATGGAGGACATTATGCTGAGTGAAAAATCTGTCACAAAAAGACAAATACTGTATAATGCCACTGTTGTAAAACAGGACTGACAGGGTTATTGTGTTTTGATGGTGCTATAAAATCACTCAGATATCTTCAAACAAGATTAGAAATTGTGTTGGTTTGGGGGGAGTTCAGTTAATTGTTTGGAAAGGAAGAAAACAAATCCGTGAACTACATAAACTCTGATGCGTAACTCTACCTTAAAAGACAAATCATCGCTTTGATCATGTTGTTTTTTTGACATGCATATTCTCTTTGGAAAATTATTTGCTCTTATATGGAGGGAGCTCTGGTGGCCTAGTGGTAAGAAACTGCACTGTAATCTCCAAGGCACACGTTTCAAATCCAGTAGCTGCTCCACGGGAGAATGATGAACCAGCTCCTCCTGTGTGATTTTACTGTCTCTCAAAACCTGCTGAAGGGTCTAGGTTGGTTCCATCTCAAAGGTACACAACAACAGTATGCAGATAATTTTGAGGGGGAAATAGCCTTTTGGAGCCATACAGTGTCACATATTTTCTTGGTACCTCATCTTCTCTGTTTTTTATTTTTTTATTCTTGCCTGTGTGGAGTAAATAGAACCAAGCAATGGAGCTTCTTTCTGACACACCCACTATCAGCTTTCTGCCTCATACATTTCTCTATTTTTAAGACTTTGCTGTAAGAAATTAATCACCCCAAACAAATTATTTTTTTTATCTGTATGAATACCTATTGTATTTTATTTTTCTATTATGGCTCTTAACACGTTGCCGCAAATGACGGCAAATGTGTTTCTGAGCATGGTCGTCAACTTAAAAAGTGTGTGGCAATGTGTTAACTACTTTTTTTATGCTTGGAAATTATGTTGACACTTTTCTGTAATAAGACTGAGTAAGAATAAAGTGAGTGGTGGGAAGCAAATGGAAATTCTAAGATATTCAGCACACTGAATTATCATTTGTGTTACAGCCTTTATTTAAGTAGACATCAAGGCAAAATCATGGTAAGAAGCTGTTCTATCAACTCAAACAGTTTGAATTCACCAGCAGCTCTGCATGAGAAAAATGAGCACTCTTGGGCAATTTTTTGTTGTTTAGAGCCATCAAGTCTAGTATAACTCATAGAGACCCACAAACAATAGATCTGAACTTTGCCCTGTCCTGTGTCTTATTTATCATCCTTAATACATTTGAGTCCATTACTGCATACACTGTATATCAGTTCACTGAGGGTCTTCTTCTACTTCACTGGTCCTCCACATTTCCAGGCCTGATGTCCCTTTCCAAAGAATAGCCTCTCCTCAACATGTCCAAAATATGTGAGATGAAGCTTTACCAACTTTGAAAGTGTTTACAAACCTCCAAGGAACATTCTGGTTGCACTTTCTCTAAAACATATCTGTTTGTTTCTTTGGCATTCAGCACTCTTCCCTAATACCACAGCCCAAAGACATCAAGAATTCTTCTGTCATTCTTACTCATTGTCCAACTCTCAGATGCAAAGCAGGTGATTGGAAAGAATATGGCTTGAATCAGGTGTACCTTAGTCTTTAGACTGACATTATTGGTCTTCAGGATTTGCTGGTTCTGAAAATCCACTAGAGGGTCAGCTATGAGTTGGTTCTGATTTGATGGCTCGTAATAACAATCACATGTTAACAGATGTTATGTTTAGGTTTAAGTGTTAAACTTTACCATGACTATAAAAATCTCATTTGTTCATCATAAGGCGACAGCAAGTTGCCCCGAGGGCAGGTACACCAGGATTCAGAGCACCAGAGGTCTTGACAAAGTGCCCCAATCAAACAACAGGTATGTTGCACTGGATATACAAAACCCAATTAAAATTTCATTGCCCAAGGTATATTTTGCTTCTTAATCTTTGTCTTTATAAGAAATGCTTTTTCATTTCTACTCCTAAATTATGCAAACATTTCTAGTAGTGTGGCATTTCCATTTTTCATGTAATTACTCTTCTTTTTCAAAGTTTCATATAACCAAATAAATGTTGTTACCTCCCCCTCCCCATTTGTTTTCTATGGATTGCATTTTGTATATCTACTTATAAGATGACCTTATCAGTTTTGTTAATATCAACCTCTGTGGAGAAAATTATATTTAGTAGTATTTGCTAACTTTAGTTTTTAAGACATGATTTAATTTATTTGCTTGATACCTCAAAAGTCTTCTGTAATGCAGGTATCGTCTGTGTGCCTACATTTTTAATTACTGTAAAAATTATAATAGCATTAACAAAGATTTCTGAAAAGGTTAAATGTCTTCTATAAGTTACCCAGCTGCTCTGTAGCCATAACCGATAGTTAAGTGATGCTGTGGCCAAGGAGAGTGCAGATAATTTCATTCTACTAAAAGTTAAAAGAAGAGACTATCTCCGCAAAAGGGGAAAAAGAAGCATTTCAGCTAATTTTAACTGCTAAAATTGTAGCAGTGGTTGGAGTTGACAGTGATTGAAGAAAAGATTATAGTATTCAATATGTTTCACTAAAGTGAAAACTTACACTATAGTGAACAATTCTTGAGGCTCATCTAGTGTTTTACCCACATAGTTGTTTTGAATTTCCTTTGATTTTATAAAATGCATTTCCTCAATGTTTTCTAACAATGCAATACTGTTTTAAACTTAACAGCATGTTGTTAAGAAAGCTTTGAATTTTATGTTAAGGAATATAGATCAGGATTTTCTATCTTGATTGGTCATTGAAATCATCTGAGGAACCTAGGGTTGGACGTGGTGTCAGAAATTCCAAAGACCCCAAAGGTGATTCTGATACATGGTAAAGGAAGAACCATGGATTCAAATGACAAATAAGATTATTGGTGAATTATTGATAGACAGAGAGATTTTTAAAGTTTGTTTTCTGTTGCAGCAATTGACATGTGGTCTGCAGGTGTCATATTCCTTTCTTTACTTAGTGGGCGATACCCATTCTATAAAGCAAGTGATGATTTAACTGCTTTGGCTCAAATTATGACAGTTCGTGGATCCAGGGAAACTATCCAAGCAGCTGAGACTTTTGGTAAGCAGTTTCATATTATAAACCAAAACAGATGCCTTTGATTATCTCCTAAGTATCACCTAGTAAATGAATCAAAATTCTCTTTACAGACAAACATATCTGCATTCATAAAGTTCTCTGCTATTAGGCAGAAAGTGTCTCAATGACTTGAAAAAGATTTGTGTTTGTGTAAGAAAAGAGTTTTATCAATTAAAATTTTTCATTCTCTGCATTTAAACTTATCAGACACAGAGTGCTGTATTTTTCCAGTAAGGTGCAGCTTTCTAACTTTAATCAAAAGACTAAGTTTAGAATAAAAATTTTTTAAATTCCCTATAAATGTGGCTTGACATTATTGTAGGAATATTTCTAATAATTATAATTTTTTAAGTGTAAATTCATTAGACATCAGCAAGGTACCCTGCTTGATATTGAGTAATAATCCTTGTCTTTAAGACAATTTGATAACTTTAATAATAAATTTATAAATAATAAATAAAAAGAAATTTAATAATTTTAGTCTATATAAAAAATACTTAAATACAGTGCAAATAAAGGATGACAGGGGTTAGGAGAGCAGGGAAAAAAATGTGTTGATGTAGGAACATATTGAATACAGGAAGTTGTCTCTAGCACCATGAATTCTTCTCTTTCGAGGCTAGAATCTGCATTGTGCTTCATAGTGCACCTGAGAATGATCTCACCCTTGCTCTAGCTGAAAACTTGAACTCCCGTGCCCTTCATCTATTGTTCTACAAGCATAATTATGACTGTTGGTTTCCATAGAGTGGATGCCATTGAATTAGCTTGGTAGCATATGATGTGGAACACCAGTGTGTAGCTGAGCGTCAAATCAGCTCAGTTCCTTAGTGCCTGGACTACCTTGTGCCTAACACCAGAGTCAGTAAGTCATAGCCTGTGATGCATTTCAAAATTACTTAAAAGGACCTCAAGAAATAGATATGATTATCCTCCTTCTTAAAAAATGAGATTCAGAAATTTGAAGGGAAAAAAATAAATTTTGACCAAGATCCATGTCTGGTTAAGAATCAATGGTGAAAAATTTCCCTTGTTTAGACACTGTTGTTGTTAGGTACTGTCAAGTCAAGTATGACTCATAGCAACCCTATGAACCAAAGATCTGAACCGTGTTCTATCCTGTGCCATCCTCACGTTTCCTGACACACTAGAACCCACTGTGGCAGTCACCTTGACAGTCTACTTGGTTGAGGGTCTTCCTCTCCTTTGCTGACCCTCCACCCTTCCCAGCATCATGTTCTTCTCCAAGGAGTAGCCCCTCTTAGCAACATGTCCAAAGTATGTGAGGCGAAGCCATATCATTCTTGCCACCAAAGACCACTCTGACTGCACCCTCTCCAAGACATATCTGTTTGTTTTCTTGGCTGTTGTACAGTGCTCTTCTGTAAAACCACACCTCAAAGATGTCAAGGATATCATTGCTGATGGATCCTGGCTGAAAGTAAGGAATACCAGAAGAATGTCCATTTGTGCTTTATTGACTAAGCAAAGGCTTATGTGGATCATATCAAAGACTATGTGGATCATAACAAGTTGTGGCTGACATTGAGAAGAATGGGAATCCCAGAGCACTTAATTGTGCTCATGCAGAACCTTTACCTGGACCTGCAGGACGTTGTGCAAACAGAACAAGGGAACACTGCATGGTTTAAGATTGAGATGGGAGTGTGTCAGGGTTATATTCTCTCCATAACTATTCAATCTCAACAAATTATCTGAGGAGCTGTACTCTATGAAGAGGAGTATAGTGTCAGGATTGGAGAGAGACTTATCAACATTCTGTGTTATGCAGATGACACAACCTTACCTGCTGAAAGTGATGAGGACTTGAAGCACTTGTTTCTTTATCACTAGTGTCATGCAAGAAATCTTTGTGATACTTAAGAGAGAAGTCTTATAATAGGGGCTTACCAAAAGTTTATGACACATTGAACCCATTACTAAGCCATAGACATTTATCTCATAACTAATAAAGAGCGTTTTATTTGAAAATAATGTAGGTGCCCGCAAGTCAACTCCAACTCAGCAACTCTCTGAATAACAAATTTGAACCTCTCTGTGTCCTGCACTGTCCTTGCCGTCTCTAAGAGGCTTTATCCCATTGTTACAGTCACTGTGACGATCGATCTTGTTGAGAGGATCTGTTCTTTCTCTAACCTTCCACCTTTCCCAACATGTTATCTTTTTCCAAGGACATAATAAAAGTTTGAGAATAATAGTTTGAAATAATCCATACATCAAAGGGGGAAATGACCAGGAATGAAAAGGAGCTTAGAAATGGTATTATTACAGGAGTATATTTTATTCTCAATTAGAAAATTGTCATCTCATATTGAATAACATTGTGAGACATCATGAACGTGAAAGTTAGCCTCAACACAGAAGTAGTTTGAAGAGTTTAAATCTTCCCTGTTCATAGTTGGAATTACATCAAGATCCAGCAATGAAAATAGAACTTCTAACAAAATCATCAAGGGCAAGTACAATGATAGCAGGCAGAGGCTTTTAGAGATTTATTATCATGTTGAGAGCATCATTTTTTTTCCCTTTTATATGTGTGTGGCATCACCATGATAGTTGGAGAAGAGATTGAGGTTGTTAGCAATCATAGCTTGCTCAGCCCCACAGTCAACACTCTTGGCACCAGCAGTCAGGAAATTAAAAGATGAATTTCACTAGGAAAATCTGTTGTCACAGACGTTTCCAGAATACTGAGAAGCAACAATGTCAGTCCAGAGACTAAGTTGTGCTCTATCCAGGCCATGATCTTTTCAGTTACTTGCTATGCATCAGAGAGATAGACAATGACTAAGGATGACAGAAGAAGAATCAATGCCTTTGAATTGTGGTGCTGGAGAAGAGTCTTGAACATACTATGGACCATCAAGAAGAAAAAAAATTCTGTCTCGGAGAGTTTGAAACCACATTTCTCCTTGGAGGCTAGAATTTTGAAGCTCCATCTCACATACTTTGGGCACATGGCCAGGAGGGACCAGTCCTTGAAGAAGGATATCATGCTTCGAAAGCTGTAGGGACAGCGCAGGAATGGAAGAGATGGATTGATACAATAACTAGGGCAATGGGGGTAGGTGTGCTGCCGTCAGTGAGACTAGCTCAGGACAGGGCAGGCTTCAGAGCTGCTGTACATAGGGTCACTATGAGTCACAGGCAACTCCACAGCACATAACAACAGTGCTATGCATATAGTTTCCAGGTTACAAATACTGGCCCTGTCTGTGATTCTATCCTATCTGACCAAGTGAAACAACTGAATTTTTACAATTGAAATGATTTGTCATGGTAAAAAAAATGGGAAAAATTAATATTTTGAAGCCCTGTTATGTAAATCTGTGCTTATTTTAAAATGATTTAACTAAACCCTACTATTCGATCTTCTAGCAGTCCATGGGATATTCAACACTCTGTGCCAACACCACAGCCCAAATGCATCGATACTTCTGTCATCCTTATTCATTATCCAGCTCTCAGATGCATAGCAGGTGATTGGAAAAACTTGAATCAGATGCACTTTAGTCTTCAAACTGGCATCATTGCTTCCAGGACTTTGGAAAGATCCTTGACAACAGATTTCCCCAATGCTATAAGTCTGATAATCCTGACTGCTGGTACCAAATGTATTGATAGTGGATCCAAGCAGGATAAGATCGTTTACAATTTCAGTCTTTTTTCCATTTGTCATGATTTTGCCTATTGGCCCAGTGGTAAGGATTTTTTTGTTCTTGATACTGAGATGTAATCCATATTGAAGGCTGCAGTCCTCGATCCTCTGCAGTGAGCGCCTCAAGTCTTCAGTACTTTCTGCAAGCAAACTCCTGTTGTCTGCTTAATGCCACTTGTTAGTCTTCCTCCAATCCTTATGCTACACTTGGCTTTATAAAGTTTAGCTTCTTTAATAATTAGCTCAATTTACAGATTGAATAGGTAAGGAAAAGGATGCATCCCTGATGCACACCTTTTCCAGTTAATCTGTGCAGTTAACAAACCTAGTTTCTGGTAATTTATTTACTTTGATTCTTCCTTGATGTACCCCCTGCCTCCTGATCTTTTTTCTTTAGATAATACAATGCTCCACTAATTAGATTATTATGCAGTTGCCTGTTTATGTGCTTAACTTAATTTATTCAGAAACATTTACTGATGATGGAGAGGACATTGAAACTGTCAACAGCTTCATCTTCTTTGGATCCACAATTAACACTGTTGGTACCAACAGTCAAGAAATAAGGAGATGCATTTCACTGGGAAAATCTGCAGTTAGGGACCTCTCTAAAATATTGAGGAGCAATGTTGTCAGTTTGAGGACTAACGTGGCCTGAATCAGGCCATAGTTTTTCAGATCATTTGCTATGCATCTGAGAGCTGGACAATGAATACGGATGATGGAAAAAGAATCCATGCCTTTGAGCTCTGCTACTGGAAAAGAACACTGAACATCCCATGGACAGCCAAAAGAACAAATATGTCTTAGAGACAGTGCAGCCAGAGTACTCTTTGGAGGCAAGAATGATGAGGCTTTGCCTCACATTCTTTGGGCTAGAGGGCTTAGTGAGTCCTTGGAGAAGGACATGATGCTGGGAAGAATGGAGAGTTGATGAAGGAGAGGAAGACCCTCAACCAGGTGGATTGACACAGTGACTGCTACCCTGGGCTTTTGTGTGTCAGGAAGTGTGAAGGTGGCACAGGATAGAACAGGGCTCTGATCTTTTGGTCATAGAGCCTCTGGGTTGTGACAGCACCTAACAATAATAAAAAATGTTTCTGCTCAAGATCAAAGACTACAACCTTCAATATGAACCAAAATTTCTTACCTCTGGACAAATAGGCAACATCCTGGTAATATGGAGAAAAGGTTGAAATCACCAAGGATTTCATCTTGCTTGGATCCACAATCAATACTCAGGGTAGCAACAGTTGAAAAATCTAAGGACATGTTGCATTCGTAAAATCTGCTGTCAGGAACCTTGCCAAAGTGCTAAAGAGCAACATTGTCAGTTTAAAGGCTAAGGCTCATCTGAACTAGGCAATGATATTCTCAGTTGCCTCCTATGAATCTGAAAATTGGATAGTGAATAAAGAAAACCACAGAAGAATCAATGCCTTTGAATTGTTTTTGAGAAAACTATTGAATATCCAAAAAACAAAGATACTCACCAGTGGGCCAATTGGCAGCATCAGGATGGATGGTGAAGAGATTGTACACAGCTTTAGTTTGCTTGGCTCCACAGTCAACACTCTTGGCACCAGGAAATTAAAAGATGTATTGCAATGGGAAAGTCTGCTGTTAGGGACCTTTCCAAAGACTAGGGCACGTCTAATACAGTCCATGGTCTCTGCAATCACTTGTTATGCATCAGAGAGTTGGACAATGACTAGGGAGGATAGCAGGAGAATTGATGCCTTTGAGCTGTGGTGCTGGAGAAGAGTATTGAGGGGACCGTGGACTTCTAGGAAAACAAACAGATTCATCTGGGCTGCTTCTTGGAGGCAAGGATTCTGAGGCTTCGTCTAACATACTTTGGACATGTTGTAAGGAGGGACAGGTCCTTGGAGAGGGACATCATGGTTGGTAGGGTGGAGGGACAGCGCAAGAGGGGAAGGCCCTTTATGAGGTGGACTGATTCAGTGACTGGGGTAATCGGGATGGGTGTGTTGCAGACAATGCAATTGGCACAGGACAGAGCAGGGTTTAGGGCTGTTTGTACGTAGGGTCGCTATGAGTTGCAAGCGACTCAACAGCACATAACAACAACATTGAATATCCCATCACACCTGCTGAAAGAACTACAGCCAGGGTGCTCCTTAGAGGCAAGGATGGTGAAACTGCATCTCATACTTTGGGCTTGTTATTTGGAAAAAGACAGCATGCTGGGAACGGTGGAGGATCAAACAAAGGAAGACCCTCAACCATATTACCGTCACAATGGCATTGAGTATCTCAGAGATTGTGAGGGTGGCACAGGGTAGGATAAGGTTGAGACCTGGAAAAGTTGAAGGTGGAGAGGCAGATAACTGCAGTTCTGTAATTAAAGATTATAGAAGTATAAGATGAAGCTGAGAAAGTTGGCAAAGTCCAGCAAATCCTTGACACAGCTCAGTAAATCACCGTTTAAAAAAAATTTTTTTTAGTTGTTCCCAGTTTATAGCCTTCAACTATAATCCAAACACTAATAGTCTTCTGTCTTCCTTATACTCAGTGCAGATATGTCCTTAAAATGTGTAGTTGAACTGCCTGTTTACCATAGTAGGGGCTTCTGACATAATTCAACCATTACAGTAATAAAATACATGGGTTTTGTTTTGTTTTCTTTTAGGTAAATTAATATTATGTAGCAAAGAAGTCCCAGCACAAGACTTAAGAAACCTTTGTGAGAGACTCCGGGGCATAGATTCTAAAAGTCCCAAGTTAACGAGTGATACACAAGGGCTTACTTCTCCTGATCCTGCCTTTTCAGAGAAGACCGACCATAAAGCAGCTAACCTCATACAAACACTTCAATCACAGCACTCTAAAAATCCACTGCTTAAAGGGGACAGTAATGGCTGTGAGCGTCATCTGGAGAAGGAAACTGATTTAGAAGGTTGGGATCAGGTACCTGATGAAGCATACGACCTGCTTGATAAACTTCTAGATCTAAATCCAGCTTCAAGAATAACAGCTGAAGGAGCTTTGTTGCATCCATTTTTTAAAGATATGAGCTTGTGATCATGTTTCTTCACTTAATGACCACTCTTATATATTGTTAAGGGAAGATGTGAATTCTTTGTAATAGCTATTTTTTTATTTAGCAGGACAGGATCAACAGTTTGTATTAAAATATTAATATTTGTTCGTGTGGCCAAATCGAAAATAATGCCGTTTTATGTATGAACTACTGGAGATTGAAGATTACTGATATTGGCTAAGATACTTTGTACTAATAGCATGATCTTTGAGTCAGATACACCAAAATGAAATCAGATTGTTAGTTTCCCTAATTACTTTTCAGAGCCATATGCAGAAAAAGAACACTTCTAGCCTAATACATAGGAGTTCATATCTCCATAGATTTGATAGGGGTTAAATGAATGCGAAGGTGAAGGTCAATGCTTTCATAGAGCTGTAAGCTTTGTGTTTTTTGGAAAACTCATTGGTGCTGGTATTCCTAATTCTATAGGTAAAAATTAGTTCCTTTTGTGAGGTATGTATAAGAAAATACTAGTCATGGGACAAAATATAACTTAAAATTTAATTTATCCATTTTTAAGTACTTTATGAATTGAAATGTCTTTTTAAAAATCTTTTCTTTTTCTTTTCTCCCTACCTGTATATACTCCTTGGGCTCTCTGGTGCTTACCATAAAGTTCTGGGTGCTTTATTAAATACTGCTTGTATTGAGGACTTAAAATGATGGATATACTGGTTGATAAGGTGATGCTACCAGCCTACAGTGAAGACTGATCGTCTTAAATGGTTGTCTTTTCTTTGAGTATATGAATAAGTGTGTCTTCTCAAGGTATCGTAGGTATAATTAGATAAAAAGGAGAAAGAAATACAGAACTGAGATTAAGTATTGGAGACTTTTCCTCTGCTTTGAGCCACCAGGTCTCTATCCTGATTTGACCAAGTTGGTCCTGCTCAACAAAAGATGGCTACTAGGATCTTCATTGGGTTGTGAAAAGAGACAATTAAGTAGGCAAAGTGGAGAAGAACCTGAAGTGTAGAGGCTTTTTATTATCCTGTTAATTTATATTTTGAAATGATGTATAAGTGGCAACATATCAAACTTAGAGAAAATAAAACTGTCTACAAGTAGATTGGCAGAAAAACTTCCGATTTTATAGAATATGGAAGCAGCTTGAAAACATACATATTTTATTATTTTTAAACACTGAAGTCAGTATTTATATCAATCTATTTTATCAGTATTCTCAAATAGGGGTTTTTGAGGTTTTTTTTATATATATAAACCATTACTATTGGTTTGCTCTGTTTTCTCATGTAAAATGTGTAAGGAAAACAAAACCGTGCAAATATTCTTGAATTCATGTTTAATAAAATTACTGTTTTCTTTTTTAACAAAGTTGTGACCACTAGGAGTATTTTCCTTCCGAGATTGATGCATGCCTTCTCTTCAGCAAATGATGGTAGTGATATTGCAATAGTTACATTTGACTGCTAAATGAAAAGTTAGGAGTTAGAACCTATCAGGGAGGGGCTCCATTGGAGAAGGTGTAGCAATCTTTCCTGTAAAGATTTATAGCTGGAAGCTCTGAGACAGTTTTAGGGTAGAGGCACCGTGAATTGTAATTGACTCAACAGGAGTGAGTTTGAGGTGTTTTTACTAGATTAACAAATACTGACATCACTCAAGAAGTAGATGAAAATAGATCAAGAAACAGATGAAACGCTGAGGTAGGTTTCTTTTGTAGGGAAAGTACTAGTTGACTTAAAGATTTGTCACATTAATAAAGACATATTATTTCCATAAATGATAACCTTGGCCAAAATAAAGTCTATCATCAGCTAAAGTACTTTTTACAAATTTGTGATTCAAAATCGAATTAGCATATCTTTATAAAAGTAAAAGGAAGGAAAATATCATTTAAATACCAAATGGGATAAAGGAAGACACTCTTCAAGAAAGTTTAAAGTCTAATGTTCAGAGCTCTTCAGCAGTTTCCTCTCGTGCAATTGACTATCTATGACAACTCGCTAGAAGGTCAGCTATGGGTTGGTTCCAACTATACACACATTTCAACTTCTCAGTAACATCACTTTGAAAACAGCAAGCGAGAGGTATAGAGTGTTAGTCCTCAAAGAGCTGTTAATGTTCAGTGTTCTAAATGAGTTCATGGGTAATTTTAGTCCCACTGGAGAATGTTGCCTCGGTTTTTAGTCTATCTGGATCAGAATTAAAATTAGTGAGGATCTTCTATATGCATATTTTGACTTTTTTGTTATGGTAAGTATATTTATAACAAGTTCCAATTTAATATTACATACATGTACAGTTCCGTGACATGAAGTATGTTGTGTTCAACCATTACCATTTACAGATTTTCCCATCAACACTGATAAAATCTCAGTGTCACTAAGCAGAGTCCACCTTTTCTCTCTGGCCCACACTCTTCAGACCTTTGAGCCTTCCAAGCACTATTTTATAATGGCAGGTAATTACCCAAAATATTCTAAAAACTCTGGCGAACTAGTCATTTCTAGGAAAAGATTACTAAGTAGTTCATGCCATTTCCTACTATTATGGAAGTTCTCAGAATGTTCAGCTGTTTTCCATTGTCAGCTTGTAAAAAGACTTGTGTTGCTCAGACTCTTGAGATAAAACTATTTGAGTATTTTCATTTAATAAGCCTAGACATTTAAAACTATTAATGTAACAAGCTACAAGTATTGAGTTTTTTCAACAGGCTGCAGTTTTCTAGCATGTTTAATAAAAGTTTCCCTTATAAGGAGAAGATTACAGTTGTCTTAATGACCAAAATAAAAACGTGGCACAAGAATGATTTATCTCAAAGAATTAAGCTTAGCTTATTTCAAAATCTGAACAAAAGTCATCAAGTGATACTAATATCTTGTTGTTTCTGGAATCTGCATTTTTTTTTGAGGGGAGAAATGTTAAGATTGTAGGAATATTGATTGCATAAAGTCGTAAACCCCACAAAACTTGTGGCTTAAGTCTTAGTAATTTCTGCTGTTTATGTAATTTCAACCATACACGTCACTGAAAAGTTATTTATCTTTAGAAACTTGCCAAATTTGGCAGGTAATAGTGTCTGCCAGTGTCTGCAGATGTATTGTTTCCACCTACATTTGTGCATGCTGCTGTAGTCTTTTAAAAATGCTATCCAACATTAAGCAGAAATGTCAACTTTATTTTTACTTTTTCCTATGTTCTTAAAACTGATGTTACTATTTTCTGGTTTTGTCAAATTATGTATCTAAACTATCATACTTTCTTGAAAGGTGGATGTTATCAACCATGTAGCAGATAAGTAATCAGAAGTACTTAATATGTCAGATTATAGCAAGGTTTTCAACAAAGTTCAGGCCAATTCCTGATTACCAACATCCAACTAATGGACAATTTCTACTTGTGCTTCAATAGTTATTGTTGTTGTTGTTATGTGCTGTCAAATTGCCTGAGACTCAGAGTGACCATATGTACAATAGCTCTGAAGCCTGCCCTGTCCTGAGCCATTCCACTAACTCCGATACACCTACCCTCTTTGCCTTAGTTTCAGTCTGACTCATCCAGGGTCTTCCTCTCTTGTGCTGTCCCTCCACCCTTCCGAGCATGATGTCCTCCAAGGTTTGGTCCCTCCTAACCACATACCTATGTGCAATGGAGCTTCAAAATCCTAGCCTCCGAGGAAAAACCTGGTTTTACCCTCTCCAGGATAGATCTATTTGTTTTCTTGGCAGACCATGGTATGTTCAAGACTCTTCTCCAGCACTGTAACTCAAAGGCATTGTGAAGACAATGGACTGGATCAGGTGTACCTTTGTCTCTAGACTGACATTGTTGCTTCTCAATACTCTGGAAAGGTCTCTGACAGCAGGAAGTATACACACTTCATTTACATAGACCAAGAACAAAACAAGGGAGCACTACGTGGTTTAAACTCAGAAAAAGTGTGCATCAGGGTTGTATCCTTTCTCCATACCTGTTCTGTAAACTGAGGAAATAATTTGAGATGCTGGACTCTGTGAAGAAGAATGTGGCCTCAAGATTGGTGGAAGACTCATCAACAGCCTGTATTATGTAGATGACACAACTTTGCGTGCAGAAAGTGAGGATTGAATCACCTCCTGAAAAAGACAGCTGGACCAATGGGCAACAGCATGATAGATGGAGAAAAGACAGAAATCCTCAACAATTATATTTTCTTTGCATCCATAATCAATATCTATGGCAGCACCAGTCAAGAAAGCAACAGATGTGTTGCATTGGGATAATCTGTCATGAACCTCTCCAGAGTGATAGCAGGGATATCAGTTTAATGACTAAAGTGTGACTAATGCAGGCTATGGTGTTTTCAGTTCTAACCTATGCTTGTGAAAATTGGACAATGACTAAGGAACACCAAAGAAGAATCAATGCCTTTGAATTGTGCTGGCAAAGAATTTTTTATATCAGGGACTGCAAGGAGAACAAGCAAATCTATGTTGGAGAAAGTGGAACCAGGGTGCTCCTTAGAGGCAATGATGGTGAAACATCATCTCATGTACTTTAGGCATATTATCAGGAGCAGGCAGAACTTGGAAGAAGAGATGCTGGGAAAGGTAGAGGGTGAGAAAGAAGAGAGCCCTCAATTGAATGGATGGACATGGTTTAAGAATGGGCACAAGCATGGCCAAAGTCATGATGTGGCACAGGATAGGATAATATTCAGAGCTGTTCTTTCAGTTTTATGAGCTTATGCCTACCAAACACCCCCCTCCCAACCCAGTACCACTTAATTGATTCCACCCTATAGAGTAGAACTGCCCCATAGGGTTTCTAGTATTGTGAGTCTTCACTGAAGCAGAGTGCCAAATCCCAGTTAGTAACAGTGCTTAAATTGTGGAGCTGGGAAGACTCAGCTGATCCTCCTTTGGGTTTCCAATGCTATAAATCAAATGGGAGGAGATTGCCCATCTTTCTCATGAACTGTGCTGGTGGATTTGAACCACTGGAGAGGCTTTGTCTTTGAGTAGCAGCACACCCC